TAGACAAAGAGAGACAGACTGAGACCTTTTCCCATGTCCTAATTTAGCCGGCATACTTTCTATCAAAAAAGATAGGCAAATTAGTTAAGAGAGGCATAAAAACTAGTAGGTTTGCTGATTATGGTACGTCTGTGGTTTAAAGAAAGATAAGAGAGGCTATTGAAATTAATCGCTTAGAAAATACGTTGAATGTGAGGAACTGAGGTAGAAAGTTGAGTAGGAATTACTTATGCTTGATTGAGGGATTAAAAGAGAGAGAGGGTGAGAGACGCCATCAACAGAAAGTCGACTTATTTTGTCTGTTCGGTGATGGTTCTAACTTCACGCACACTCGTCCAACATGTTAGATTGAGTTCATCAACCAAACCAGATGTGCCAGATTACGCAGCTACAATCATGCCTTTGCAAGGGGGTTGAACGTTAATGACTCTAGACTGAGAGGTTAGGACAAGTGGTTTCGTAACTTAACTGGCAAGCTTGCAAGCTTACATATAATTATCTCAGATATACTTACTCACGGACTTACGCAGTCTCGGTCAGGGCTTTCTTTGAGGTCTTTAGGCCTTGATGATTAGACACAACTTTAACCTTTTGATAACTCTTATTGAAGACCGGTATTGCGTATAGACGCCAACATACACACGCAGACACTCGAGCAAAAGTAACAGGAGCAATATGAAAGATAATTAACCAAAACACTTTATGTCGATCTATCTAGGTTTTTAATTTTTAATTTTTTGACTTGATTTAGTCTATATATGAAGTAAGATAGAGCCAGATAGTGTTCTTGCTTAAGTGTTAACGTGTGACTTTTAAAAGAATGACACCCAGCTCTGTTTATGACAATCATATGATGGACGAAAGCTCAGCACGTTTCCACCTGAAACGAGGAAGGAAGCCCCGTAGACTGCGTCAACATGAATATCGTATGAAATCCAACCGGCTGCAGTACAACGAGAATCATCTGTCTTTATCTGGTGAGATCGACCAACGAATCTCTTCTTCATGCAATTTCATACGAAATGAAGGTTGCCCTTAACAATGTGATTTTATTTATACAACGCGTTCAAAACATGCAGCCCTCGATTTTGTCTAAACAAATAAAGGTACAAATCTGAGCAAAGCTAAGGCTTGGACTTGGGAAATGGGAGCAGGCTAGAAGGATACAGTGTTATGGAACAGAAAAGATGACATGAAACGAAGGAGCGTTACCATATTCATTGACCGCTGGATGGGCTGCACTTTTAGCACCAAGATTTCCTTAACTCATTCATCTTGTCTTGAAATGTATCTGTTTAGTGGTTCGGTGCAGTAAGGATACATACCAATACTGACAATGGATGCAGTATGAGTTGATTATATATAGAAATCTCTTTTTTGCAAAGAAAACCAGGTAAATTCCACTCCTCACATGTTCAGTTAGCAAAACGTGTCCCAAAAGGTAGATTAGAGACATATCCATATTAATTAGTAAACTCCATTAAGCATGCATTAAGTGCTACCGAGTAAAATAGACATGCGTGCTTTACATATCCGAGGGAGTAATTTCTTCGACATAAGCTTTATCGTTGCAATTTCCCAGCATTCAAATTAGCCGAAATCTCAATAAACTAACCTTTGGGACACCCTCAATATATAGACACATAGTCTTCTGTTGCATATACTCAGGGTAAATTGACCCGGAACACCACAAAACCCCATCTTCCATCTATCGTGTCGATTGTAAACTCGCCTGAGAAGGCATGACTTCGGCATTGCTTCCAGCAATCTTCACTCCAGAAAAAAGACAGGCCCGATAGTGCGCTTCGACCACATCTCGACCGAATGCTATATTAGAGCCGACACCACAGTAGTATGGGCCTGGATTGGATTAGAATTGTGGGAAGAGAAATAGGAAAAGGAAAATTTGGAGTGAATTAGTGAAGCAAAAAATGTGGATTTAGGAAGTAAACAATAAATAGTGATGAGCAGATACAAATATAGATTACACAAAAGAGACAAAGCGAAGTTAAACTAGGAGGCCAAATAGTAGCTTCAATTTAATTTAATGTAGCATGTTTTGCACCTCAACAAAATTTGAAGCAAAAATGAAAAATGCTGTTTTATGCAATAGAATGGTTTAGTAGAGCAATATTGTGAGTCTGATTACGGGCCTATTAAAGGTAACTTGGTAAAGAGATTCGGTAGATGCTATATTAAACTTGTCAACATTAATACTGTATTAAAGTAGGCCTAAACCTGCTAAATGAAATCAGTTACACTTCAGACCACTTTGTAGTATTTCGGTGTTTCAGTGTAGGTGCCAGGTAGCCTGCTGCCAATTACAAAAATAGTATCTATAAAGAACAGCTGGTTTTCGATGAATCTCTATAAAAAAGAAGTATCTGACTACAGAGATGCACATCAGCAATGTGTATACTTAGGGCGAGTGGGCATTCATGAGTGATGAAAGTTCCTGAATATATCCTATACTTAAGTCTAAATAAATTGGTAAATTTAAGCATGCATGCTTTGATCAAGCTAACATAGTTGAGAATATAATTACAGGTTAAACAGCCCGTATGATGATAGAATTCGAAAGAAAATATTAAGGCAAAAGTATAAGATGTACGGAGGTTAAAGAGACAAAATAAACAGCTTGATTATGAAAACAGGCGAGCAGATGAGAAAGCTCCATTACAGGTGTGGGAAACGCATGCGAAAGGTATACGCAATAATAAATAGAAACTGCTTCCGATGAATAGACCAAATGATGATGAATTAAATTACAACGATTTCGTGATACCTCTTGCTTTCCAGATCTTTTCCAGCTTAGCCTTGCTAACGCATGCTCACAAGTGGAATTCTGGAAATTTGCGGTCAGTAGCTAAATGCAGGCTTTTCGTAACACTGAAGTCCTTGGTCCCATCGGATTCAGCTTTGAAATAAAACACCTGAAATACACACAGACGAAAATAAGTTTTTATTTCTTAGCGCAGTTTCACTTAGGTACATAAGGAATAGTTCAAACAGAAAAGTATGTCTTGCATAGTCGTGATCGACTGGATGGTCGAATTGCAAGTATTTGCCAGAAGATCGAAAGATGTTTACCTCCAATCTGCCTGCAAGTTGTAATTATTACTGAGCTTCAAACTAATACATAATGGATTTCAGTTGGGTAGTACACACTACAGAGGATTCAGGCTTAGCGACACAGACTGAAAATAAATATTGCAATGCGATTTGGCCGGAAGCGTTTAACTGCCACTTTAGTTGAGGATGCTGCACGTCATCTAGTTAAGTTTATTGTATAGTTACATATAACTAATTTATATAAATATGAATAAAAAAGAACGGAAACAATAGTTGTGTATGTATATTGCCACTCAGGTCAGAAAGTACATTAATTTATAGACATTTGCTTAATAAAAATTTAATTTAAGGATTAAAGAGTGGCTTAGGCTTGAAAAACTCTATTCTGTGAAGTTAAATTAAGTGAAAACCTCAATTTGATTAATATTATGCTCACTCTTTTAACTTAATTATTCTAAGCTATGAAGACTAAGATGGTGTGGCCTTTTGTGTGGTCACAGTCTCCTTTCGTTGTATAGAAGTTGTTTGACATTATCTTCGCAACTTGGTCGAATACTAGAATGATAGATACTGCCAGTGTTTAAACCGCAAAGAGTTTATCCCAAAATATTTTGTTAGTTAGCTGATTCATCACTCCTTAGGAGTAAAATGTGTACATTTCTATATATGTTAAAATGTATAGTTTAAACAACTATGGTGTTTGCACTATTTTGCTATTTTTGCCTTAAAAGTTGAGTAGGTCTACCTTGTGGGCCAGGAAAGCCGTTTTTTGGCCATTGAAGAGGATAGCCGTCGATATCAAGCAGAGTGTATTCTTGTTCGATGCCAAACCAGGGCTGAAACTCCTCCTTTGCATCCATCAACAATTTGCAGCCATGTCTCGAATTGGTTCCTAGAGAAAATGAATTGAAAATGACGATATCAAAGCAGGATGTACATTTCTATCATCTGGAAAATCAAAAAGCTACAATTTGCAAAAAGCGACAAATGCGAGTTAATTTGGTGCATCTTTAAACGAGGCATTTTGGCCCCGGCGAGTTCATGTATCTGATTGGTAGCATTTATGTACTAAACACAAGCTGATGTATGGCACAAGCGTTGATGCCATTCCCCAGTAGCTTTACTCAAGCAGACAGTTTTATATTAAAACCCAACTATGCCTTCATAGGTCATACAACGCTTGATACTTCTAAAAGAACTCACTGCAAAAATCACGAGACTGGCATATTCTAGAAGTAATATTTACGAAGCGCTTATCTTTAATCTGTATTATACTATGCTGGTTTATCACGCAATATTTTACTAAACTATTATACAACGGAAGAAAATCGAAAATAAATTCTGGAACTATATTGATTTGACCTTAGTAGGAATGAGAGACTCAAATTCCAAATGAACCCTCAGCCGAACACTGTACACAATTAGTAATAGGACATTTCTATG